CCCTTCTTCGGCTGACCGAGACACCTGCACCCGAGGAAACCCAGGCCGCTCACCACCAGCCCCTAAGAGAGACCTGATCGTTCTTCATGCAGAAGACTCTCGACGCTTCAGAACATTAGAGACAACACTTTTCTTCAATGGCAGCTGTATTCCCAAAGCCAGGTTCGGGCAGCCTGATCTTTAAGGTCACACTGGTGATTTGAACAGCCAAGTTACTGCACCCTAACCCGGTGAGGCCTAATCTGCCAAATCGCCAGCAACCTTTCCCTTAAAGCTCTTTGATAAAGCCACAGTATGACATAAGAACAACTCTTAGAAGTGACGCAGAGCAGTGGGGATTCTGGACAGCCCATCGCATTGATTGAATTCTCAGAGAAGTCGCGATTTAAAGGTCAGAAATCGCAACTTGTGAAAAAGCTTTACCACAGATTGCGCTTCTTAAAAGTCCAATAATTCAACAGAATGAGTCAGTGCAGCAATACAATTATGCAGAGCACTACATTAGTATGAAGAAACAAATTACAAATACATCACAGGTGCCTATTATGTTCCTACTTCTCCTACTCTCATACACACACATACAAATAACCGCCTGGGTTCTTAAAATTTTTGTTTTCCCCCTATTTGCCTTGCTTCAGTTATGTTTCCTCTCTTGTTAATAGTCTGATGAGCACACAATGCTGAACATTTTTAACACAACTTGCATTTCCCTACACCAAGAAGGAATAAAGCAAAAACTGCAATACTGTGACTCGACCTTCTCTTTTTAATCACCAGGTAATATAAACAGTTGAATCGGTTCTTCTCTAAGCCCTTGGACATTTAGGAAAGCACCTGCCAGTATAATGTGCGTACATATACTGTAAATCCATGGGCTAATTGAACTGGCTACAAAAAAAATCGAGGAAAAGATTATTCTTAAAAAAAACATCTCAGCAGACTGTTTTTCCTGAGGAAAGGGCTTAGCTGTACACAAAGTCCTGGCCCTCTGCTCACTCCACTGCTGATCCATTCCTACCCCGTCAGCAGATGCCTGCTCCCCTGACCGGCCACATCAACACCGGCGCTGTTCGGTGCTCAGGGGCAGAGATGTTTGCGCAGCCTGGCCTGGACGTCCTGGCTTAACCCCCCCACTACCCCAGAACACCTTGTGCGCCCACGACGTCACACACAGCTCCCAGAAGCCCTTTCTTTCCCCTTGACTGCTGGCTGCAGTCCCCGCGGACCTGTTCGCAGCGAACTGCGGAAGCTCATTTATCAACGCAGAGAGACAAGAGGTACGCAGCATCAGGAGGTAACACTGCACTGCTTTCACAGAGGCCTAATATTATTTCGAATGATCGCTTCCTTAGCGAGACCCGATATTTTACTGAACAGGAAAGACTCAAATGAGAAGGAGAGACAAAACGGAAAATCAAATGTCATTTGAGCTACAAATTTACATCTGCCTGGGTGTTTAAATTAAATCTTCCCGGGCTGCCCTGCTAACCCCTGTGGTAACAGATAAATCGACATGTTCAAGTGGGGGGCTTCACATGCATAGGCTGCAAAGGAACACGTAAAAAGAGAAGAAGAAACAAACTTGTGGCTGTGGAGCCTTCTTTCGGTGGGTGTCTTCACAGATGGCCTGAAGAAAACACCACAGCCAGCTTTTCAGCATGGCATAAAGCTTTACTTGTTCCTTATACACCAAATCAACATGGTTACTGTGTTCAAGATTCTGTATGGAGTGCAATTAGAGAACTGAATAACTTCTTTTATTTAACCAGGTAAGTTAATCGTGCATTTGCAACGCTGACATGAGGAGAAGTCTTCCTGGTGCAATCTGAGCACTATGAGGGCAAGTACAGTATCCTGACAGCTCAGAGCAGAACGTGCCCCGAATCCAGGAACACCTCACTGCCAGCCCCAGGGGTGAAGCGGTGAAGCGGTGAAGCCAGGTTCCTTGATAGCTGACACAGTCAGGCAACATCGGAGTTCATCAACAACGAAGAGCTGCAAACCGGAGGAAGCCATTCAGCCCAGCTGGCCCTCTTGGCTGTTA